CCCCAAAACCCCAAAACCCCAAAACCCCGCTTTGTTATTATATAAAAAATTTCTACTATCTAGAATAATTAATCATCAAAATCAAATAATTTCCTTTATTAATCTAATGATTTCATTCTATCTAAATGCTATTGTTGCTTTACTTCCCGTTTAGTTTGGATTAGTCTATTGTTTTGTTGTTGATTGTATTATTCAGTTGAGTTTTATTGACGCTTCTGTCAAATATCTGGGTCTTTTTTACCATTAGCTTTGAATTCATTTGCTATTTCATTATTTTACTGCCCTCTTCTTCCATATCATCTTGAGAAAAGGTTTCGTTAATATCTTTAATAGAGTGTAGATCTAATTTATTCTGATCCTCTAGGTAACTTGAATAATTAAAAGTTCCATTGTTATCTTAAGAATTTCTACCTGATTTCAATTTGGACTGAAAACTTTTACCGATCAATTTCAATACTTAGTTCTGTCTATCTACTTCTAATAAATTCTTGGTTTAGTCCTAATTATTATCAACTATTTAAATTTTAGCTCCACTCCTATGTGATTCCTATTATGTGGTTTATGGCTCATTGACTTAAGGAACTTTGAATCTTTTATAGGATGCTTGATAAACAGAACCTCTTTTTCTTAGTTTAATATGATTCTTTATAATTTAATAATCTTCTCTAGAATTAAGAACCCCTCGAAGCAGGTTATTATCAATATTGGTGAATTTATCTTGCTTTAAAAAGTATTTCCCTAATTTTTAGAATATATAGTCCATAGTTTCCTTCCTGTTTTTATTTTTAATATTTTTCAATCTCAAAATGATAGACTCATTGTCTGGTATTTAAGACAAAATTCTTTGTGATATCTACTCAGTTTCAGAATCTGAGTTTAGTACATCTCTTTTTTAAAAATTCATAAGAATTTGCTGCATAGGATTGAATATGATTTGAGTCATTATCTTAACATCTTTCATCATCTTTATTAATGATAAGGCATCAAATTCTTTGGCAAGCTTATCTAGTCCTTTTTCAAAGAGAAGATGTTCTCTATTTTTAACTCTATATCTTTTCTTGCAGCAAATAGATGTAATAGGAACACAGCAGAAAAAGTACTGTAATGTTTTGATAATTGAATATTGAAATCTAAACCTCTGGCTAATATCATCAAGCACTTATTAAGGCTTAATCTACTTGATTTATATTTTATCTTCCTTGTCTTGATCTGAATAATTAAAGCTTTATTCATTGTCATCTTGATCTTTATTTCTTAATGAATATTCGTTATTGTTATGCTTTACACTGCACTAGTATCTTCCTAATCTATCTGAGTCTTAAGATTTTTCATTCTTCGGTTCTATGTCGAATAGACTAGAAATAAGTTCTGCGAAAAATAATCTCTCTTACAATGAACCAACCAATATCATTCCAGCCAAAAACAAAGCATTATAAATACCTCCCGCATCTGAGAGCGCAGAAGAAATAGAATAATCTACTCGAGATAGCTCATCCTTATACTCATCGAGCAAAATATCAAGTTCTGCATATACTTTTCCTTGATTGTTAGTGATTGGCTTGCTGTGCTTATTAATAGTATTTACATAGTAAAAGGTAGTTTAAGAATCGTCATTTGGTAAAATTCTACCCTCTTACTAAACATCTGCTTGTCTGATTAAAAGCTATACAACCTTCAATGTATGAGTTTCAATATTAAATGTGGCTCTATTGTCAATGTAACTTTTTATAGGTTTATTATAGCTTTGAAAGTCAAAAAATCTATTGCTAAACGAAACTTGTAATATTTCCTTCAAAAAATAGATTACTTATGTTATCTAAAACTTACATTTGTTAAGATAGAATCTATCTAAGCTTGAGGTAGGCAGTTATTCCCCAATTTATTTGAATCACAGGTTTTAAGCTAAATTTTCAAAGACTGATGGTTATTTGTATTAAGAAATCCTGAAATCTAAAGCAATGCTTTATTTTTCACGCAATAATAATTCTGGATGGTTTTGTTAAATTATGGCTAAACATATTTCTATTTAAATCCAATCGAAGAGCACAAGTCCATTTCTATTTTCTGAGTAATTATTTCTAAAAAAACGGTTAAGAATACAAATTAGTAAGATGGAATGAAATTCAAATATTCTGATGGTTAAAACTTACCTTCAGTTCCATTTGGCAAAAGTATTTTCTTTGAGCTCATTGCTTCGAATGTTGCAACTTTAGGATCTAGTGGGAAAGAGAATCCAATAGCAAATTCAAAATCATTTTGACTATATCACCAAATTATTCCTCTTATGATTTACTTACTCTAAATTGATAGTATCATAAATATCTTTGATCTCTTGATGCACCGTATAGCTGTTGGATGTTGTATTTCCATAATCTATTTTAAATTAGTTAAATGAGCAAATTATTGCTTACCAGCTATCATAGCAATTCGTTACACAAAGTAAATAAATGAATAAGCAGTCACAACAAATGTTATCAACGCACCAACAATAGTTTTAAATTCTCTAAAAACATAAATATTATAAATGGCGAGCTAAATGAAACTTTATAGAATTAATACGATAATTACTTCTCTCCCTTGAAAGTTAATTGAAACTACTGGCCATACATATCCAATGATTTAAAATTCTTTATTCCTGATCTTAGCATTGATTTAAATCTAGAAATAGACTTTTGTGTGTTTGTAATAAGCTATTTATTTTATAGGCTTTAAGACATATTTTTTAATATTAAAATTGTAACTCAAATTTATAATTTAGTATTTTAATTAAGACGTTTTGTTTTTATCATTGTATATCAAATTTTATAATAATAATGCTTAATGGGGTTTTGGGGTTTTAGATCGGAAGAGCACACGTC